GCATGGACCCCATTGGCTAAACGATGCGATACTCAATTTCTATTTTGCCTATCTGGAGGAGGTTAAATACAAATCGAATGTTGATTTTCTATTTGTTACGCCAGAGATGTCACAGTGCATGCTCTATATGGACGATAAGGAGCTGCACGGTCTGTTGGTGGCGCAGAATCAGGCGCTGCGCAAACCTTTCATATTTATGGCATTGAATGATAGCCATTCGCGCGATCGGGGCGGGGCACATTGGTCGCTGGTTGTTGCCTCGCGGCCGGATAAGAGTTTCTTTCATTTTGATTCGTACGGTGGCGGCAATACGAATTGCTCCCTGGAGCTAATCAATAATATTAAGGATGTGCTCGATATGCAGCATGCACGCTTCCGGGGCATGCGCTGCCTGCAGCAGAGCAACGATTATGATTGCGGCATTCATGTCATCTGCATGGCCGATCAGTTGACCGACTATGTGAATCGTTATGATAGCGTTGATGGTGTCCAGCCGCTGCATCAGGATGTTATCAAGGCAAAGCGCAATCAGCTTATCAAGCTGGTCGCCTCGCTGGGTCAGCATATTTGAGGGCAGCAGCAGCAGCAACAGCAGCAACAACAACAACAACAAGAACAGGGAACACAACAACAGTTACAACAATAAAAACAACAGACAGCAGACAACGCTCACAATTTGCAACAGAAACGCATTTTCCCCAGTTTAACGCTCGCTCATTTGCACTTCGCTCAGCTGCGTTACACTGCGCACTTTACAACACTGGCACACAAGCCACTCACACACACACACACACACGCACACAGACAAACAAACAGACAGACACACACTCGCCCTCCTATCTTACTCTCTCTCTCTTGCACTCTTTGACAGTCTTGGAAAATGCGTTTTGTTTGCTCGTTAACACACACACATACACACACAAGCACACGCAGAGACAAATAATAACTGTTTTTATTGGTGCTGTATAACTAGAAATTCATTTCATGATCTCTCAAGCAGACATTAAATGTATTGATACCACATTTAAAGGCGTTCTTCATTCGTTTGTGGCATTCCAGAAAGTGAAAACTATGTGAAAGGATATTTCTAATTAACTTGTGCCATTCCAAAAAGCGAAATCGCCTTCTTAGAGCTAGAAATTTATTTCGCAGACATTTAAGATATTTTTATCCCATTTACAGACGTTTTACATTCGTTTGTGTTGTTAATAAATTAGTGTCATTCCAAGAAGCGAAATCGTACCTTCGTTTAACTAGAAATTTATTTCCTGATCTTAAAGCAGATATTATAATGTTTTAACGCAGTGTTTTATTCATGTTCTTAATTCGCTTAAGCGATTCCAGAAAACTGCAACTACTTTTAGGGACGTTGTTATCTATTCGCAGAAACGATTTCGCTTTTGTTTAACTAGGAATTAATTTCATGTTCTTTCAAGCGGACATTTAATATATTAATAGCAGATTTGAAGGCGTTTGCGCGATTCTAGGAAACGACAGCCATATTTAGAGACGTTCTTGCCTAATTTGTGACATTCCAAGGAACGGAATTACGTTCGATTAACTAGAAATTTATTTCATAATCTCTGAAGCAGACATTTTATAGATAAATACCAGGCTTAATTATGTGCTCGATTCGTTGGTGCTTTTCTAGGAAACAAGACGTACTTAACTTATTTTTGGTATTCCAGGAAGCGAAAACACTTTTGTTTAAGTGGAAATCAATTACAAGATCTCTCAAGCACACATTAAATGCATTCAAGATATTTATATTACCCTTCTGGGGTAATTAGGCAAATGCTTAAAATTGTTATAAATTCCTTCGCGACATTCCAAGAAACGAAATCTCGCGCGTTTAACTATTATTTCACTTGATGATCTTTCAAGCAGACATTATACCGCATTCTACCATTTTCTGGGCAAGTCCTGCTTCAAACGGCAAAAATTGAATGCCTTGAAACCGAATTTGAAGACGTTCTCAGCTAGTTTATGCCATTGCCAGCCACAAAATGCTGCGAATCGCTGTCAGGCAACTCTTGACCTAACCGCAATTCATTTACGTACGTATTTTCTTGCGCCAGACTTTGAAAGGACTCGCCCTCGCACATTCACAGGCGTTAAACAAATACCGCGTGCACTGTAAATACGTTTTTTTTTTTCGAGTTACGTGCTGCCGCAAATGTTTTGTTTGCCCGCTTCGGATGCTTCTCAAAGTGTAAACTCAATTTACGTGATCGAATTTCTTTCGCTCCTCTTTTTTTTTAACTTTTGCCCCAGCACTTTAGGTGTAATCAGATTCACAGCTGGTTGTGCCACCCACACACCCACAAACACACACAACAGCTTTGCCAAGGGTTGAACAACACTTTGATTGTAATCAATTTTTGTCATCTCGGGTATTCCAGTTGGCGGTTTAGTGCTTCATGGCATGAACTTAAATTGAAATTGTTTTTAATATTGATTGGATTCTTAGTTTTACGTAGAAACGCAAAGTACCAGCACTTAGGAGCTAATAAACATTTAAGTTTAGCTCAATTCAGAATAAATATGTAATGCATAGCCTTTATTTATTATTCAGCTAGATATTAACCATTTGATATGAAGAATTTGCCAATTACAAATCTTTTCGAAAAGTCTAAAACTTAAGGCGCTCTGTTACGCCTCTTGGGTATTCAGTGTAGCTGCTAGCCTTGCTTACTTTTCAGTCTACGCGACCTGCATAAACTATTCTAGAAGCTATCTGTGTATCAATATATATAACTGCTATAACCCCAAGAGATTTGCTCGAAAACAGAATATCTACATATATCAATTGTTATCGATTGCTTGGGAACGGGGCAAGTTATCGATTATCGCAAGGAAACTCGAACTGTGCGGGCATTACGTTTCTAAAATTTCAAGTCTCTAGCTACTATAGGTTCTGAGATCCTTCATATACACGAACGGACGGACAGACAGACGGAGACACTCGACTATTAAAGCTGCACGAATACATTATACCCTTTTAACGCCATGTTCAATGGGTGCAGGATAAAAATAGCAAATCAATTTCCTAAAAAAAAAAAGAATACGCTATTTCATCGCAGCTCAAAAAGAAAGTGAGTACAGCTACAATAAGTACTCGAAATGTCAAATGATTGTTGACATTAAGGGTATGCCAGCAGTCGGCAATGCCACAATTTTGGCATATCACAGCTAAAAGTAATTAATTCTTTGATTTTACATTTCACATAAAGGGCATGCATGATTATGCAAGAGAAACACATTCAGCCCAGAGAATATATATTTATATATATATATATTTGTGTGCATATTCCTAACAGCATCGATTCAGACAGAAGTCTGTACAAGCCAGAGAATCGGGCAATTGAAACTAAGCTAATCGGAGTTTCTTTAGAATGAACGATAGCTCGGCTTGTTTGCAAGAAATCGATAAATATCGATGTTACACCCTATCTCATAGGTTTTAAGAGCTAGAGACTAATCTAACACAGATTGTGCCCAAAATGATGTTTGCCTTTAAGTGTGAATTTCGTATTGGCAGCTCAGCGCTAAATACAGGGTATGTATGCGTCGGATGCTGCCAATTGGGCAACTTTGACCGGCTTACGCTTATTTACTGCATGCGTCATTTGCCTCAAAATGGGGCAACGCGTGTTGCATGGCTCTGTTGCTATTGTTTTATTGTTAGTTTTGTGGGGTTTTCTTTTCTTTTCTCTCTTTCTCTCTTTTTTCTTTTTTGTGTTTGCTCGTTAACGATTTTTATTGTATTTATTTTGCACTTCATAGACGACCTGCCTGAAGCAACCGGCTACTCAAAGTGTGCCACAGATTAAACGAGTGAGTGCGCGTGTGTTTGTGTATTTGAAGAGCACTCCAGGGTAAGCAAACACGCACACAGAGACAAACCGCTGAATAATGTGTCGTGCAGCTGTGAATAACTCGTTGTTGAGTACGAGTTGGACCTTGAGTACGAGTTCGAGTGCGAGTACTCGTTACCGACAACTGGTTACTGATGCTGGGGCTTCCGGGCAAGATGCCGTCGGGCAACACGATACAGCAATTAAGTTGGTTTAGTTTCGATTTGCAGCAACAGGTTTCTCCACAAAGCTGATTCGGTTAACAGGCTCAAGGTCGGATAATACAGTTTGTGACAGGCCGCAAAGATCCTGGCTGTCGCACACAAGTCAAAGATGTATGTGTATGCCACAAAAAGATATAGTTAACGGCCTTGCCCGTATCAAGTTTTGTGCTTCAAATTTTTAATTGAACCTTTTCAGCCCGTACTGTCTTGAGCCCCACGTCTTAAGTTAAATTATAATGTTTGTAATTATGTACTTACCTGCAAATGCACGTTGATTTCATCGTCATCTATCAGTAGGCCGGAGATAAACTTTTCTATAAACACATTCCTGAAAGAAAAGAAAAGCAGAGATAATGTTTAATTGATTAAAGACGCAGCATACTACGCAGCAAACCTTACATGAATTTGTGAGAATCACGTAGTAAAGCAACATACACACACACATATATAAATACATTCATGCATGCATGTATTCAAATACATACAGGCCAACATGCATTCATACGAGTGTAATAGATGTTACTTTTAGTATAAATGAATTAGACATACTTTAAAATACGTACCCGTTTTGGGGGCCACTGCCTGATCCAATGTTCTGCTCTGGACCAGCTGCCGTCTTCAATATTAATACCGTCTCCTCTTGGCTTGAAGTCGGCTCTTCAAATATTAATGCCGTCGTCTTATCTATAGTTTAACCATCCTTTATTTTAAACGCTGTCGCCTCTTGCACAAGCTACTGTCTCCTCTATAGTTTAAGCTGCTGCCTTCTTTAAAATTGAAGCCGCTTCCTCCTAAGTTAAAGCCGCTTCCTCCTAAGTTAAAGCCGCTTCCTCTTATGTAAAAACCGCCGTCTCCTCCAAAGTCGCCATCTCCTATTGTCCAAGCTGCTGCTGCCTCCTGCTGTGTTGAAGCTGCCTCCTCAACTTGAAGTGAAGTCTATGAGACCTACTTGAATCCATGAGAATCGCAATCCTCTACAGTTTAAGCTGCCGTCCTCTTCAAAATTGAAGCCGCTTCCTCCCAAACTGAAACCGCTTCCTTCTAAGTTGAAGCCGCTTCCTCCTATGTAAAAGCCGCCGTCTTCTCCAAAGTCGAAGCCGGCATCTCCTCTATTGTCCAAGCTGCTGCCGCCTCCTGCTGTTTGTAAGCCGCTTCCTGCTGTGTTGAAGCCGCTTCCTCCTAGGTAAAAACCGCCGTCTCCTCTATTGTCCAGGCTGCTGCCGCCTCCTGCTGTGTTGAAGCCGCCTCCTGCTGGGTTGAAGCCCCCAAGTCCATGAGACCTACTTGAATTCATGAGAATCGCGTAGTAGGGCCTGCATATGAACATATAAAATATAAGCATACCATATATAAATTTACACTTATACATGCATACACACATACAGATGGTATATACATGCAAATATACACTCATATTCGCATACATATACTCATGCTTACAAACATACACACACACTCCCACATATACATACACGCATATGCATAAACACATTCATACATACACGCTTCATAATACATACATATGTATGTACACACATCAATGCCTACACATATTAATGCACATGCATACACTAACTTACATACACACACAAATATAGAAACATGTATACACAAACATACAAATACATACATACATACAAGTTTATATCCATATGTACCCACATACATACTTACATACACAAGTTCAAACACATACATGCATACATCCTCACATACATACATACTTACATACACACACAAACATGCATGCATGCACACATAAATACTCACATACATACATACACAAATTCAAACACACATATGTACATACACACAGACACACAGACATACATACATGGACATGCACACATACATACACACACACACACACACACACACACGCACACACACACACACACACACACACACACACACGCACACACACACACACACACCCGCACACACACACGCACACACGCATATACATACAGACACTAGCATTTTCCACGTAGGAACGGACGAAACTTATTACTGCCCATTAAACGTGTGATCAGAGGGCGTGGATTTTGCGTAAGATACGTTTCAAGTGAATTTTCATAAGGATCCTTGAGTATGAATTTAAGCCTTCAGCTAGCAAATCTTTGACATCCAAATCTAAAAGTGTGAGACACCAGTCTAATTCCAGTTATCAGTTACCATATGTGATAGAATTGCACGCTAATACGAGTTTTTCGACAATTCCACCCGCAAGCGTGGAATAATTACGGAATATAATTCTATGATACTGTTTTGCTTGCAACTTAATCGGCCTAAAATTTGATTGCGAAAAGTGCAATTCCTTTTTGTGCAAATAGGGAATCGAAAATTGGCGGTTGGAAGTATTGGGCTTAAGTTTATTTGCGAAAATCTTTATGGAAATGCACTTAAGACGTGTCTCAGACGTTTCGCAAAATCCACACCTCTTGGTCGAAGGTTTTATGGGCGCAGTAATAAGTTGCGTCCGATCAAAGCTCTGTTTAAGGACTTAATAAAGATGTGTTTCAGCGTAAACTGAACCCAGGCAAAGCCGAATAATATCCGGTAATAAAATATGTGAATTGAGATAAAAAAAAAAAAAAGAAAAGAGGAAGCAGCAGCTGTGTGACACAAGCGTCGCACTGGCTGCTGCCGCAATCACAGCTGGTGTCCCCAGTTGGGCACCGATTTCGCTTTGGCGTTGCCTCTGCCTGGCTTTCTGGCTAATGAGCCATGAGTCAACAAAAGCGCACAGCATCGAGGCAAACAGAGCACCACAGCACCCACATCATCCACCCAACCACACACACCCTGCCGTGTGTTGTGCATTGTGCTAAAATATTTATGGCATACACTAAAGCCAGCCGAGTCCGCTCGGTCACCCGCATTGCGTGCGCTTCACCCAGGCACAGGCACTGGGCGAATCAATCAATTTGCTTGGGCAAACCTCCGAGCAGCATGTGACAAGGTGGCAGCAGCTACTACACAACACACCTGAGCTGAATGTATCTAAGTGTGTGTGTGTTTGTGTGTGTGTGTGTGTGTGCGGGCCAAGTGGCGTCTCACTTGACTTTAAAATGACATCGAGCTGTCTGAAGTAGCTATCGTTTGCCAACCCTCCCCTTTCTCGCCTTTCCATGTGTGCATGGCTGGGAAAATAGATAGCAGCAGCAGCAAATGACAACGACGCTGCCGCTGGCTTCTGTTTCCATGTTGCGGATGTGGGAAAGCATTTGAGTATGGCTGCCAGCTGTCTGCTACACTGCAAGAAATTCTCCAGCATATTCATTCGATTACACTAAGGCTCCATGACAAGTGGCAACCCTGTATGCCTATCGATAACAAAGCTCAAGTCTGCCTTAAATAATATTATGCTTCTGTTTAATTTTCTCGATAAATCCAATGCCTCTGTAATGGGGTTTACCTCCTGGTAAAGTATTCCGATTCTTGCGATTCGCTGTGTCAGGTGGCAGCCCCGTGTGCCTATCGATAGCATGGCTCAAAGCTGTTAAATATAACATCAAATGATTCTACTTGCCAAGTGGCAACACTTACTGCAGTTCCATGTGCCAAGTGGCAACCCTATGTGCCTATCGATAGCACACATCTTTGTCGCAGCTCAATTCTCTTTAAGATATTATTATCAAGCTATTGTTAACCCTTTGCATTCTCTCGGTGTAGCCAGCACCTCTCTAGACTGGCGAATGAATCAAGCACAGCGCAACAGATGTGCGTAGATGTGAAATATGTTTGAGCTACGCCACAAACGGTATTAACAAATGCAGATACTTAACATAACCTCAAAATATATCGTACAACACGTGCGATAACTTTTAGCCAGCGGTAAGTTTATTGCTAGCTTTGGTTTACATTTAAACTTCAGTTAAATTGGGAATAGTTGTAAGAAATGAGTTCCCATAATAGCAGAAAAATTGAAATAAATCAAAGAAAACGTAAAGATCTTCGATTTCCGCGCTTTTTCCACATCTGCGTGCGGATTTTCCTAGCGTCCTACGTACTGTACTTCAGCTCTTCAAGTCTCATCAACTATGCTGCTTAGTTAAAGTACTTCGAAAGAAAAAAAACAAAAAACCAAAAAAAAAAAGAAGATAGGCAACAGCTGGAAAAGTTTGCACTCATATCGGGCACTATGGGTATTCTCCTATGGGTATTGCCCGTTGCCAGTTGCCTTTTCAAGTAGTTGGCTTCAAATTGCACGCAGGCAAAGACGTTCGGCCCATGGGGCCGTCCACTCCACTCCACTCCCCATTCACAAGCAGAGCCAAGGACATTTGAGGCAATGGCTCGTCCTGTTGACTTTAACAAAAATTTATGTTGTTTACTTCGAAATAAGCATACAAGAGGCGTCGTCACGAGAGATGCTGGGCTCCCCGGCCAATTCCATGCTGACTGAGACTCTGCCATCGCAACGGAATCAACAGCGGCTCACAGCGGGCAACACAATATGCAGGACCCACACACACACACACACACACACACACACACACACACACACACGCACACACACACGCACAGAGGACTGTGACTAATGCCAATGCATTGCAAGTGCAAATCGAAAGATATATTGAGCATTATTCTCGCATTTCTACAATTCGCAAAGTCTCAGTGCCAATCAAAAACAAGTGAGCGTGCTTTAGTAGGGTATGCCCAACTAGAGCATACCCTGTGTGGCCAGCAACCTGTGCAAATAGCGTTCTTCAATAACTCAGCTGTTTCAAGTCCAAGACTTTTCGAACTCTCAGCGCCTAAAGCTGGCATACAAATATGTGCCTATACCAAGGCGCAAGACTCTGAATACTGATCAAGAATAAATACATATATATTTGATATATTGAAAGATGTCTCCTTATAAGCACTTCCCGTGAGAAAATTGAAACAGTTTTTGGTGGTGTAAAACAATATCAAGAGCTGAGCGCGAGGTGATTTACGTGTTAGTTGGCTTAACTTTTGAAATGGGCGGGGCCCCTCCCCCCCTACCCTCTGCCCAACTACACACACACACACACACAGTTGTGCGTAATGGGTATAGAATTGATTTGGGGTTCTGTGCGTGCACCTTCAATTAGGCAGCGATTTGGTCGAGATTTGTGCGCCTGAAGGCAGGCAACACAATTGTAAATAAACACAACAAATTCGATTTACACACAGAAAAAGAAAATAAAAACAAAACAAAACACAAAAACCCAAAAACAAAAAACGAAAAGAAAATACATTTTAAATTCCATTCAACAGAAATATAATCAAGCAGCCGAACAAAAAGAAATATGAATACAATGCGTTCGTTTTCGCTGTGCCGGAAACATTCCCGAAAACACTTTCGGCACATTTTGGCCACAAAACGAACCGCCAAAAGTTGTGACCATGAGATGGCCTATACTCAGCGTGAGGCTGTAATTCGAACTGAGTTCTTTTCAGCTGGGTGCATTTAATGCATTTTTTGACTAAGATCGGCTTCTCTTGTCCGATCCTTGCGGAATTCTCAGGGCATAAATATGACATGCGAATGTGTGCAGTTGCCAAAAGCTATGACCTCCATGAGTAACATAAGTAAGCAAAGTGAGAATCTACTTTGCAGGAAAAGAAAAACAAAGTCGCAGAATCGATAAAAATGTTGGCAGTTATCGAGAGAAACCTTCGGCAACTCGCTTAACGCTAACGTAATTGGGAACATCACAGAAATGTGTAAGGTCCGCTTTAATTCGAAACTTTCTTTTCAGCCCAAGCAAACTAAAGAAAAAAAAAGGAATTTAACAAGCAATTGGCATGGAAGGCGGGAATACGGCATATGGAGGAGAGGGAATTCAAGAGACTAATGTCTAGTGGGTAAGAGGCGGTGGGTGGAGGCTGGAGCCCTGACCAGCAACAAATTGCACAGCGGGCATAATAACGTCAAGCATAATAAAGCAATTTAATGCTCGAACAGGAACAGCGGCAACAATAACCGACTGTGAAAAATGGGGCGTGGGGCGTGGCAGCAGGCTGAAATAGGACATCGGACACGAATGGACACAAAAAGATGGGAGCTACGGGAACAATTGATATTGGCAAGTCATGCATGAGCATCGACACGAATCGCCGATGGGGCCGGACGAGGTCGGGGGGCAGGGTCAAAGGGAAGCCGCACATCATAGCCTGTCGCGTCTAAATACAGCACAACATACATACATATATAAATATATAAATATATGTGTATATATGCAATGAAATCAGCTTAAACGCAATTTAAAAGCAAAACAAATAAGACATGTAAGAGTCCTCCAGTCGGCATCGGTCGACTAGGAGATATCCTCAAGCCTAAAAATTTTCATTTCAGCTTGTTTCTTCTTCCCTTAGCCACATAACATATGGTGAGCCAGGGAGAAATCTTTCTCTAATAACTTTGGTGTCTTAAGCCCGATATTTATTTGATATCTATCTGAAATTCCAAAATATGCTCAGAAAACCTATCGATACTTATCGATTTCATGACAATAGGCTGAGCTATCGATATCAAGGTATTCTGCATCACAAATTTTATATCTAGCTGGAATAAAATCCCGAAATACGTTGAGAAAACCTATCGATACTTGTCGATTTCATGACAATGGGCTGAGCTGTCGTTAGTAAGATATATATCTCAAATTTAATATTTATAATGAATATTAAACACATCGATATTTATCGATTTCAGAGCAAAATAGGTTGATTTATCGATCATTTGGAATACAACTGATCCGGGTTTCGATAATGAGCAAACATTTCTTGTTTTAGACAGACAGAGAGACATCTGCGTATAAACTCGCATATGACCAAGATAATATATAAATTTTGCCTATGTTGTGTGCATATTTTATACCGATACTATACATACATATATATGTATATATATTTGCTTGGTCATACCTAATGTTGGGTCGCGTATTTATTTATTTATGCGCCTGCTGGCCGGCAAAAGTTTTTGTGCAAGATTTCAGAAGGCAACAGGGGCTAACAGGACGCCATGGCCAAAGCACAAAACGGACAAATGAATAAATGTCCTTTTGGGGCGCATCGTTGCGCTTGCTTTGTTGCAACAAATGCAGCATGCCACGCCCACTGCCGAATCGCAGCTGTGTGTTTTAGATACATTGAAGTGCTGGGCGCCAGAAACATGGCATTGTTAGCCCAGCTGTTTCAGCCTCAATTCGAGAACGGAAAACATGAATCCTTATTACAACAACAGCAACAGGCGCAAAAGCGAGGGGGTTGGGCAGAAGCACGAGCTGGTTTCTTATTTGAATTTGTGCCCAGCCAGTTGGGAAGTCAATTAAAGTTTATAATTTGGCGCTTCCGTTATTCTATTGTATGTGTGCGTGTGTGTGTGTGTGTGTGCGAGCTGCGAGTCGCTGAGTATCCTTTGAATCTTCTTCAAGTGTTCACTGAGCAAATCACTCAACCAACTCCCATCCGCCCCCCGCCGTTGCAGCCCTTCCAAAGTCCAACCCGCTCGCCTTTGGGTGTGCGTGTGTGTGTAGCCAACTGGAAACCATGAAGCGACATTTGCACACTCTGCTCTCCAGCTAAATCGCAGACCCCGTAATTCCCAAACACCAACCCCATGCCCAATATCTAGCTCTCTGAGTTGTGGGCGGGGCAGTGGGACGATGGGGCGGCGACAGCGTTGGAACTGTGGGCTTAAAACGGAAGCTATCAACGCCGCTTCAGGCCGCCGGCAGCTCCAGTCAGTAAGTCAGTCAGTCAGTCAGTCATCAAGCTGACGTGCAGCAGACATTTAACTATAATAAACGATATTTCCTTCACATGCTGACAAGTCTATGGCTATGACCTCTACACCGCCCCCCCTCGCCCTGCCCCTCCAACACCTACTCGCACAATTCACGGTTCACAGCAAACACCCAGCTAGCGCTCCTTCTGCCAGCTAAGAGCAATTGGTAATCCAATCTAGCGCCAGCTTATGCTCGTGTCCAGCGCCAAACACTTTACATAATTCTCCATGGTCTTAGTCGGAACTTAAACTCACAGCCAAAAGCAATAAACTCATGGATATATATATATATATATATATATACACGATATATACATTATATATAAATATATGAGCTGTTCGCATCACGAACAGACTCAGAAAGCGACACAGTAAAAGGAGCTGTAGACAGACGCATGATGTGTGAACCAACTCCTGGCTGCCTGCCCGTTGGCCCTTGGCTTTTATTATTTTATATGAACTTCTCTAATGTGAAAGCGAGCGCAGCAACAGCAATGTCTACAGTTCTATACCCTATAGAAAGTTTTTTTCCAATTCAAATGTGAAAGAATACGTCAGAGGGAGAAGCGTACATGTTTGCATGAACGGTGGAAGACGAAAAGCGATTTGCTAAAGCAGAAGTGAGAAGCAATCTAAAGCAAAGATAAACTGCAAGGAGGAATAAATAAAGCTCTGATGGAAGTTAACTGAACGCCAAGAAGGAGAAAACCCTACTCTGAAGAGAGAAGCGAAGTAGATAAAAGCAAAACCAAACGCATGACAATAAGCAGACCAGGCTCTACAGCAAGAAGCAAACAGATAAGCAAAGCAAGAATTTAAACGAAAACAAACAAGGCGACATGCGCAGCGAGATGTAAATTGAGAAGCAAAGTGCAAGGCAAGCTAATGTGCTAAGTACGGCGCGCTTTAAAGTGAGAAGCGAACAGAGAATCGAAACGACTAGCAAACTGGAGCGAGAAGCAACAGAATATCACATTTAGGCAACGAAGAAAGTCGCAATGAAGCGCAGCGCAAAGCCAAACAAGAAGTGAAGGCGATGAGTAAAAGAGTTTATATTTATATATTATATTGAGTGTAGAACATACGCAACATTCGCCGAATGTTAACAGTGGAACGCAGCCAAAAGATTACTTAAATTGAAATTTTCCTTATACATTACTAATGTGATTAACAGCCAAAGTTGGTAAAGTTGTAAATGACTGCATGCGCTTTGAGGGCAGGTTTATAAAGGGCAAACGAAGCCGCCAAACTAAGTGCCAAGAAACAAAATCAAATGAATGTGCCGAACCAGAGACTGAGAGAGGAAGCGAGGGAGAGAGGCCCAGACAGCGCAGTAGATAAAAAGCCAAGCGAAAGCAAATCAAATAAATTACATTAAAAGAAAAATATGTAATAAAATAAAAATGCCTCCGTCACAAACACATAAACAAACGCATTCTGCTAGGGCGGGAGACAAAGGAGAACAAAGCGAACAAATGGACAAATGGCCCAGACAAAAGGCCAAAAATTACAAACGAACACACACACGCACACACACACACGCACACACGCACACCTACTGCGTTCTTGCTTTGAATTGTTGTTACATTTTTGTCGAATTCAATTCATATTTCCATTGACAGACCCTTTGCTAGAAAGCG